GGTGAGCGCGCGACACGCGCCGGAACGCCACGTCGTCGGCCGACAGCGCGCCCGCCCGCAGCGCCGCCGCCTCCTCGCGCTCGCACGCCTCCTCCTCCTCCCAGCCCGCCCCGCCGCGCCACTCCTCCGCCTCCGCGCCCTGCGCCACCTGTTACGAGTCGCGTCACACAAACATGTCAGCCATCGTACGCTTGTATAACATCGGCGAAGGAAGGATCCCGCATGTGCAGTCTGCCCACCTGGTGCACGGCGGCGTCGACGAGGTGAGCGCCTTCCTCCTGAAGGCGGCGCAGCGCGCGCGCGGCCGCCAGCCGCTCGCCGTACGCGCCCAGCAGCTGCTGCGTGCCGATCGCGCCGTCGCCGCACTCTGTCTCGCGATATCGCTCGTTACTATTTTATCAAGGAACAAGGAGCAATCGAGCAATCGCTAGGATGAAAGAGAAAGACGGAACCTCTGGTGACGTCGGCGAGGCGGCGCCAGAGGGAGTGCGCGCGCAGGAAGTCGAGGAAGAGGGCGAAGGCGCGCGCCTTGTCGCGCAGCTGCGCGGCCAGCTGCAGCGCGGCGGAGGCGCCGAGCGCGGCGGCGGAGCGGGGCGCGGCGCGGCGCCAGCGCGGGTCGCCGGCGGGCGCGTCGTCCAGCAGCTCGCGCGCGGCGCCCGCCACGGCGGCGTCCAGCGGGGCGTCCACTGACCCCGCCCCCGACCCCGCCCCCACCCCCGCCCCAGCACGCGCCGGGAACTCCTCGGCCAGGATGCGCGCCGCCGCGGGCTCCCGCCGCAGGTGGAACAGGAACGCAGTCTTCAACTTGCTGCGGGGATCCGTGGCCAGGGCGTTCATCTGTCGGTTACACAAACATATCATTTCTCCTATATAATGCGCACACTAGGAATCGCTTAAAATAATAAAACACAAAGTGAAACTTGGGAACCTCATGCGCTCACCTCGTTGGGATCTATCTCGTACATGGAGAGGTTACCCTCGTAGAGGTCGGCGGCGGCGGGCGAGGCGAGCGGGCTGTCGCTCACGGACCTTGAGGACATGGTAGATGTTAGATGAGTGATGCCTGGTGGGGCCGGTATGGGCGTGTGTGAGGGTGTGCGGGGGTGTACTGACAGGTGGTGGGGGCGCGGGGAGCGCAGCGCGAGCACGCCGTGCTGGCGGGTGAACAGCAGCGGCACGCCGGCGCACAGCGCGCCGCCCAGCACGCGGTCGCCCTCCGCGGACACCTCGATACATTCCATCTTCTCGCTGGAGCCCGAGCCTGCGCACGACACGCCTTCTACATATCTGTACATCTACGAGGACACCTCGCTATAGTTATTCAGGAGTAAAGGCGGGATATAGAGGCGCTACAGTTACCGGTGAGGAGGGCGACGTATGTGGGGGAGTAGAGCAGCGGGGTGGCGGGCGAGGGCAGGCAGCGCGGCGGGCGGGCGTCCTCGCGCGGCGGCCGCAGCGCCCGCGCAGACCTGACGCGCACGCGCTGCGGCTGCGACACGTCCAGCTCCACTGATACACGAGCACACGATCACACGTTACATGTCAGAACACAGAGCGCCTGCGGTCGCGGGAGGAATAACGTGAGATGCGACGGACCGATGGCGTAGCGCTTGTCGGGCGAACGCGCCACGCTGACGGCGGCCACGAGCAGCACCAGCGAGTGCGGCCCGCTCGCGTGCACGTCCAGCGCCGTCACCTCCAGCCCGCTCAGGTCCACTGCGAGGAAAGCGAGCGTCCTTTCTTACTGGCACGTGCCACACACATGAGAGAGTAGTGCAGACGAAGCTAAAGGGCACCTTGGTGCGGCAGGTGTCCCTGGTGCGCGCGCAGCGTGGCGTCGGCGAGCGCGCGGTGAAGGTGGTGCTCGTGCAGCTCGGCGCCGCGCCACAGCTGCAGCTGCGGCCCGCTAGCCACCAGCGCCACGCACTCCTCCGCCGCACCTTCCTCCTGCGCTCCGTCCTCCGCCCCCGCCTCGCCTCCGCCCTCCACCACGCCCCCGCTCAGCACCACCACGCCCACCAGCTTCTGCACCGGTGCCGAGAGTATATTACAAAACACGTTCCATATTGTCATACATAGCATTTCATTACGTGTGTATTACGATAATTGTAAAGACGACTAACAGTGTCGGCGTTGGCCGGCATGGAGCCGAAGAAGAGCAGCGAGACGCGGCGGCCGATGCCCCCCAGCCAGCCGCTCGGCGGGCGCAGCGTGCGGCACGTCACTGTGGGACGGCCCTCTGCAAATAATCAATATTTCATACAACATTTAGAACACATATTTTATATTGTTTACTTCTAAAATATATTTCACTCACCCAACATGGTAGGTGTGAGCAGGACGACGGTGCATGTGGTGGTGGCGAGGACCAAGCCGCTCTTCGTCGGCTCTCCCAGCTGCTCGCACTCCTGGCCGGCCAGCTCGGCAGAAACGTCCACGTACACGCCCTCCTGTCCCACGCTGGGCCAGTACCGAATCACTCCCTCTGGTGACACCCCAATACAAGATGGCAGCTGAAATAGAAGAAATTGTCTGTTTACTATGAGGGACAGAGGGCATAATATTTTTAAAAATCTTGGCAGCTTTTAACTTAGCAAAGGTAAGAGCATCAGTGCTGCACACAATTTTATGTGTAGCAAGGTGCAGGAGGAGGGCACTGTCCACGCTACTCTGGACCGCTAAGATTTTTTGGAAAAGATCTAATGACATATGTCAATATAAGACCAGTAAACACTTGTACCTGTGCATCATCTTCGTAGAAGAGCACAACAAGGTCGGCTTTGTGCGCGAGGTCAGTCTGCGGCAGAGTAAGTTCCCGTGCGGCGGCGACCAGTTCGGGCCGATTAGGCCAGGCCAACACACGTCGCCCTGCCACCACCCAGCACCACCCGCAAGTTGACATACGCGCGCTCACCTCGCCACTTGCTGTGACATTAATTTCTGATTATACTTGTCTCTAACTCAATAAAGCTCTAAGTCAACACCAGAACCACCAATACAATCAACTACTGATGCAACATTTTTCATTTTGTAGATAAAAGTGTATTAGTATTTATATATGAAGACAAAGAAGTGAATGAATTACCAAAAGTGAGAGCTTCTGTGACCATGACGGGCAGAGGCAGGCCATAGGTCTCTAATGTGATCAACGGCGTCTTGTAGATAACATCTCCAGTTTTCTGTGCTCCCGGAGACTGCATATAGTTACTACACAAAATTGTTACAATATTTTAAGAAAATGTCGGAAATTTATTGTCAATGTATAACATAGATCTTGTTTATTTAAAGTAAAAGAATTTTAATTTATTCTTACATATTGGCGCCGGCTACCTTCACTAACTCAGAAGCGCGGTAAATTCGAATAAATAAGGATATAGGATAATAAATAATAATTACCAAGGATAGAACATTCTAATATAAATGTTAAAGTTAGTTAAGGTTAAGTAAAATAACACCTTTGTGATTTTTTGGCAGACGACAATCCGATTGGTCTTCTTCCTGTAATGGATTGTTTAACCCTTGGTGAAAATGGACTTCTAATCCCGCCTGTACTGTTAAAATCCATTCTGGCTACTTATAATTAAAACTGCAGACAATATTAATAAAATAGTTTATGTTTCTAAAAATGTAACAAACGACCGTTATGATTGCGGTTGCTTTTGACATTTAGTTTGACGGTTGACATTTGATAATTTGACAGTGGCTTAGTGGGGCAGAGTATAAAACATCGTAAAACTGACATATCACTGCGAGATTTGCTTTTTACGTTGGCAACAAAAAATCAAAAGTAAATGTCACCGGTATCGAAAATGCCATTAGTAGTCAAGTACAATATGTCAAGTACAATACAAAACAACGAAACGATAACGGTCTTTTTCAATTAAATTATAGCTGAAACTTTTAAAGAACGTTATATTTTCGGTTGCAGTGCCTTTACTTATATCTTAGAACCATTGTTAACTATATTTGAACATGTACATAAAGTCAATTGTTCTCGACGGATTCAAATCTTATGGTAACCGTGTGGAGGTGAACGGTTTTGATCCTGAATTTAATGCAATCACAGGTCTTAATGGTACTGGAAAATCCAACATTCTCGACTCTATCTGTTTTGTGCTGGGGATTACAAATTTGTCTAATGTAAGTTGTAATAATTATTATATAAAACTTTTCGCGCCAAATTCATTGTGTTTTATGAAAGAAATGTAAACAGCTTATGATTTGATACATTTACCTTTTTTCCTCGGAATATTAATAGTGAATAAAAAAAGTTGTAGATTAAATTTACATAAGAGATAATCAAATTAATTAAATTATGGTGTCAAATCAGGTTATGATTCTAAGCAACTAAACTATTATTATTATTTTATAATCGTAATCATTTCATACGCTACATGGAGGTAACCTCGTGAGCCAAATCATTATTATTATTACCTTGCAGGTGAGGGCGGGCAGCCTGCAGGAGCTGATCTACAAGCATGGGCAGGCGGGTATCATCAAAGCCACAGTCAGCATCACATTTGACAACCGAGATAAGCGCCAGTGCCCCGTTGGTTATGAAAACCATGATGAGATTACTGTTACACGACAGGTACAGTGGTAGAGCCCGCTTTAACATCTTAGCACAAATCGGCCCAGCCCGCCTGGTGAAATACCACAACCACACAGAAGACAGGCGTGAAGTGGAAGCAATTCCGCGTTTTGTCTGATGAGTGTGCGTCCTGGAGGCCAAAATTAGTCTTTTTCTATAATCTTTCTATAATCTTATAAGGAAAGGATGGGAAGTGGACTTTTCGGATGAGAGGATGCATGGAAAGGGAAAATATTTTCTTTCTGTGCATCCTCTCCTATGTTGATTAAAGGTAGACAATTCATATGCAATTGTGTATGTCTATGGGCAACGGTCACTTCGCTATTTCAGCGATTTCAGGTGGCCGCTCGCTTGTTTGCCACTTTATGATATAAAAAAAAGGTACATTTTATTTATCTTTATGTCTAAAACTTCATAGAACAAAAACATTAACTAACACGTAAATGTTTATGATAAGAAACATATGTTTACTATGAATTATTATATTAATCAGGTACTACGTAGATATATGTGCAACAAATAATGTTAGTGTCTTAAGAAATGTAAAGTGTTCATGTGTTGTAGGTGGTGATGGGCGGCAAGAACAAATATCTGATAAACGGCATCAACGTGCAGAACAAGCGCGTCAGCGACATGTTCTGCTCCGTGCAGCTCAACGTCAACAACCCCCACTTCCTCATCATGCAGGGCCGCATCACCAAGGTCCTCAACATGAAGCCACCAGAGGTTAGTCAGAATTACCTAAACTTTTCCTATAATTAATATACATCAATTAAAGATAAAGTAAGCAAAGTAAGATAATGTGTGTCGTGCAGATCCTGTCCATGGTGGAGGAAGCTGCGGGGACCAGAATGTACGAGGCCAAGAAGCAAGCTGCACAGAAAACTATAGAGAAGAAGGATGCCAAGCTGCGGGAGTTGAATGATGTTAGCCGTTTCTTTTATTGCTATCTCTGCTCCTTTTACTCTCCTTATTCATCTTTGAGAATTCAAATCTATCCCAGATTCAAATTTCCATATCTTCGTCGAAATATATTTCCGAGAGACCTTTCCGAGCCATTCTTTAAACTCGTGAATCGTATTTAAAGGAGGTTCAGATGTATACTCGTACAATATTGTTGCAGATAATCAAGGAGGACATAGCACCCAAGCTGCAGAAGCTGCAAGACGAGCGGTATCAGTTCCAGGAGTACCAGAAGGTCGTCCGCGAGCTGGAGAACTTGAGCAGACTGCACACCGCATGGACGTAAGCGAGAGGAGTGATGTGGTGATGATATTGCACGTGCGGAGTGTGAGAGTGCGGCGTGTGGCGTGTGGCGCAGGTACGTGCAGGCGCAGCGCGCGGCCGACCAGGCGGCGGAGCGGGCGGCGCAGGCGCAGCGCGACATCGCCCGCAACCAGGACGACATCGCCGCCAACTGCGCCGACATCCGCCATCTGGAGGAGCAGATCACCGCGCTCAGCCGCACGCTGGAGGAGGTCACTATATACATACAGCAGCGGCAATGTGCAGGGTCAGCTGCACACGCAAACGTGACGTATGTGTGCTTGTGTGCGTGCAGGAGGGCGAGCTGGGCGCGCTGCAGGAGGAGCTGGGCGGGGCGGAGCGCGCGGAGGCGGCGAGCGCGGCGGAGGAGCGGGCGGCGCGCGAGGCGGAGGCGGCGCACGCGGCGCGGGCCCGTCTGCTGGCGCGCGCGCTGCACGACGACACCGCCGCGCTCGCCACCAAGGAGGAGGAGCTGCAGGCCGTTAGACATATAGCTGGATACTTGACATCTCGAAGCGGTTCAATTGTTGAGAAGCGGGGTGATGTGACGGGATGTTGTGTGCGGCAGGTGTCGTCGCGGTTCGAGAGGCTGAGGAGTGCGAGCGAGGCGAGTGCGGCGGCGCTGACGGAGGCGCAGGCGCGCTTCCTGGCCGTCAGCACCGGCCTCGAGGGCGGCTCCGAGTCGCTGCAGGACCAGCTCATGGGTAACTCCTCGCATGCGAGAATACGTTGTATATTCGACGAGCTCGGCGAGCTGGGCTTAGGCTGATATCGCGGTGGTGTGTCAGCGGCGAAGCGGGAGGCGTCGGAGGCGGCGACGCGGGTCGCGCAGGGCCGCATGCAGCGGGAGCACGCGCAGGGGCGGCTGCGCGCGCTGCAGCGCGAGGCGGGAGCGAGCGGCGCGCAACACGCGCGGGACCAGCGCGACATCGCCGAGCACCAGGCGGAGCTGGACCGGCTGCAGGTGCGCCCCGTGGTGCGAGGAGGGTGGGCGAGGGCGGGCGAGCGCGACGTGTAACTCGTGAGGGTGTGGGTGTGGGTGTGTCGGGCAGGCGGAGATGTCGCGGCTGGGACACGAGGAGGAGCGGTGCTCGGAGGCGGCGCGGCGGGCGCGGGCGGCGGCGGGCGAGGCGCGGGGGCGGCGCGAGGCGGCGGAGGGGGCGGGGGCGCGGCTGCAGCGCTGCGAGTTCCGCTACGAGGCGCCGCTGCCGGACTTCGACCGCGGCCGAGTGGCAGGCACGGTGTGCCGGCTGGTGGACGTGAGGGACCCCGCGCACTGCACCGCGCTCGAGACCGCCGCCGGGGGACGGGTATGCTGTTTCAAAATAATATTACGGAGGTTCGGTCCCGCGAGCCGGACGGTCGCTAACCTATTGTACTCGTTGCGGTCGCGGTCGCGGTCGGGGCGCAGCTGTACAACGTGGTGGTGGACACGGAGGTGACGAGCAAGCTGCTGCTGGAGCGCGGCCGGCTGCAGACGCGCACCACCATCATCCCGCTCAACAAGATCTCCGCGCGCGTCATCGACCGCGACACCCTGCGCGTCGCCCAGGAGGTGGTGAGTGAGTGCGGGCCCTCGGCCGGCGGTGAGGACGCGGCGGTGCGGAGGTACAGCGAGGTGTCCGCAGGGCGGCGGCGCGGAGCGGGTGCGGCTGGCGCTGGAGCTGGTGACGTTCCCGGAGCGCGTGCGGCCCGCCATGCGCTGGGTGTTCGGCAGCACGCTGGTGTGCGCGGACCTGGACACGGCACGCCGCGTCACCTTCCACCCGCGCGTGCGCTGTCGCTGCGTCACGCTCGAGGGCGACGTCGTCGACCCCGCCGGCACGCTTTCCGGCGGCGCGCGCATCAAGGTAGCCCCACCCCCACTCGCCCCCCTCACCGCCCTCCTCACCGCCCACTCACTGCTCAGTCAACGCGTGCGATGCGCAGGGCGGCTCGGTGCTGCTGCAGCTGCAGGAGCTGAAGCAGCTGGAGGCGGCGGCGCGGGCGGCGGAGGAGGAGCTGGCCGCCTGCGACGAGGACCTCGCCCGCTTGCAGCGGCTCGCCGACCAACATAACGCGCTTAAACAGAAGTACGTCCCTCAATTCTTCATTTCCTCATTGTTCGTCTGCCTAGACATAGATTTTTGGTAATGTATCGTTGCGTTTTATTGATTGTGTGCAGGGTGGAGATGTCGTCGCACGCGCTGGAGGTGCTGCGCGCGCGTGTGGCCGCCACCGCGCACGCGCAGCTGCACGACGAGATCGACGCGCTGCAGCGACAGGTCGTTTAACCCTATTTGCCATCGATGCGTTTTGTCTCCACCGAGACTCGAATAGTCTGAGCGTGAAAACTTGCGAGATATCCGATGGAGATCTAGATCTAGATGTAGACATATATTTGCCCAGTCCGGGTGTAAAGGCGAGGTGTGCGTGCGATGCGGCAGGTGGAGGAGCTGGGCGCGGCGGTGGAGCGCGACCTGGGCACGCAGCGCGAGGCGGAGGCGCGCGCCGCGGACCTCGAGGCCAAGGTGCGGGACATCAAGGGTCACAGGGAGAGGTACGCACCCTCTTCATTAATACCTCCGGGTTGAATAGAAATCCTCGTTATGTACTATACATTCGATCCGTCGGCAGGGAGTTCAAGAAGGCGGAGGAGGCGCTGAGGAAGGCGAAGCTGGAGGCGGAGAGCGACAGCGCGTCGTGGAAGCTGCGCGAACGGGAGTTCGAGACGCTGAAGCTGGAGGTGGCGGAGCTGCGGCAGGCGGCGGCGGCCGGGGACCACCAGCTGGCCGAGGGCGAGCGCGCCGCTGAGGAGCTGCACCGAGCGCACCTCCACGCCGCGCAGCGACACC